TCTGTTCGTCTGTCTGTCTGTCTGCCTGCCTGCCTGTCTGTCCGTCTGCTGTCTGTATGTATGTATGTATGTATGTATGTATGTATGTGTGCATATGCTTGCATGCAAGAATGTGCAGTATGCATGTCTGTGTCTATGTATCTATATATGTATGAATCTATGTGTGCATGCAGGCATGTCTGCATTGATGGATGTGTGTATGGATGGATGCCTGCATCAACGTATAAATAGCATTGTACCCTGTTGGTACGATTTTGCCTCTCTCAGACAGGTTGCAAAACACTGCTGCGCACCATGTTGAAATCGCTGCGCAGAGAAACGACAGCGAAAGCAAACGAGCTTCAGGCCTCGAGCGAGCCAGCTGAGACAGGTGGCCGGCCTGTCTTCGTGGTAACTTTTGGAGCGAAGCCAGCACGTCTGAGCCCGAGCGCTTCGAAACCCATACTAGTATCAGGCTGGTCCGTCAATGGGCAAGCTTTCTCTTCACCAGGTTTTTTGAGTCCATCCGTCTCTTTGTGTTGAACTCTTGGGGATTCCGCAAAGCTTAACCCATGGTTTTGATGTCCCAGTCCGGGACATCTGTCGGCCGTGCTCTCTGAATGAGACAAGCGCTACCCTGAGTGCAGGTGCGGCGCTCGCACCTCGAGGCCGCAGAGGAGAAGCTGCATGTCGAAATCACTTCGTGTCACTTCATAAGCAGTTCAGTGTCGTCGATGCTCCAGCTGATTGACATGGCTTGACATCGTCCAATGCCAGGCCGACGACGGCACTTACGACTGTTGATTGTCTTGTGTTTTCAACGCCCGGAAGCCTCCAGGAAGTGTGCAAGAGACGATGCGTGTTTCAGACATACCTCGACAACACACCTCAGGGTCGAAGTTGTTGGGCTGATCCCACTCAGTTACAGTGTCCTGGCGATCTTGAAGTAATGGAGCTTTGTGCAGAAGCTTGGAAAGCATCTGGAATTCTCTGGAGCATCTCGGAAATGCGGGTTGTTTCAGTGCCGGTGACATTCAAAATTCTGTAAGCCAACATGTTCAGAAGATGCTTGAGTACAGCAGCCGAATCAACCTTGTCTTTCACGAATCACGTACATCTCAGGAAAGCTATCTGCTAAAGAGTTGCTGGGCGTTCGGTTAACCTGAACAACTGCAAGGTACAATGTAATGCGCGAAGTTTAGGAGTTCAATCCCGGGGTTTGGCAACAGGAGCAGCTACCGCCGTTGCCTCCGCTGGTCTCTCCTGGGGTCTCATGGCAATTATTTTCTTAGTTTTTTGAGCCCCCAAAGGCGTTTTCGTGCGGCTTTCTTCTTTTGTGTTTATTTTAGTTGTTCATTCTTGTTTTCTTCGCTTTTTGGCCCCAAAAAGTTCAGTTTCCTTCTTTCGTTTTAAGCCCCCCAATAGCGTTTTCGTGTGGCTTTCCACTTTTGTGTGCGGACAAGCCTTGCAGGCCAAGGATAGGGTTCGTTGGCCCCAGCTTGAACCCAGACCCCGGTTCAAACGGGCCCGTGGTTGGGATTGGGGTTAGGGTTCGGGTCAACTCCAACCCTTCCCCGGACTTAGGATTGGGGTTCGGGTAAACCAACCCTAACTTCAGGTCGGCGGGTGGGGTTCGGGTGGGGGCAGTGATCGAAGCCCAGATCACAAGCAGCAGTAGTGGTAGTGGTAGATGTGTCGGTCGTCGTCGTCTTCGTCGTCGTCGTCGTCGTCGTCGTCGTCGTCGTCGTAGTCGTAGTAGTAGTAGTAGTAGTAGTAGTAGTAGTAGTAGTAGTAGCGGCAGCAGGAGGAGGAGGCGGAGGAGGAGGAGTGGTGGTAGTCGTAGTCATACGTAGTCGAAGTCGCAGACGTAGTCGCAGCCGCAGTCGTTGTCGCAGCCGCAGCCGTTGTCGTGGTAGCAGCAGCCCTGGGCCCCGGGCCGGATCCAGAAAAGAGCGATCCCTTCAATCTTGGCTTCGGTTCAGAGTGTGGGAGGGCCTTCAGTTTGACGCCTTGTTTGCGCGTTGGGGAGATCGGCGTAGACGCCCTGCAGGGATAAGAGCAGCACCAGCAGCGCTTCAGGTTCATAGCATATTTGAATGTATACTACAGTACTCCCCTGCATTTCACTGGATTTTGCTTGTCTTATGCCTAACAATGTCCTTTATTGCAGCCTGTTCTCTTTCTTCCAGCGCAGCAGAGGATATTTTATTGAAGCGTATGACTGCATGTCTG